CACATAGGATGTTGTTGACATCTGTGTTGAGTATTAATTTTATTCACTCTGCTTTGACCAGATGCAATGCAAAGTTTTTGTGGAAAAGAATACCAGATGAAATAAAAACAGTAAGATATTTTAATATTCTTAATCTTTTGAGCGTAATTTACACTCAACTAGGCAGACAATGTACCTTCTTTATAATGACCTGGTTCTTGGTTTATACATTGAGCTTGGTTCATTGTCATTCTATTTTCCTATTCATGCCAACATATTCCTGACATAAATTTTGATTATAGAGTTGTCCTGAGCTATCCAAGTTATGGAATCTTGGTTGTAACATGTGGAAAAGAGATTATCAAAATATCTACACTTCTCTGCAACAAGTCTGGTCTCCATTAATTCAAACYTATATTATTGCATTAAAAGGTTAATTAATATCATAAGGATTACATAGCTACATGTATGATTCTGGTCTGCACCATTGTTGTCGTCTTTGATTACTGGTCCAGGCAACATGTGACATGAGTTTGTTAGCACATTCAATCTCTTACTGTGGTCTGTAAGGATGTTTTTTAAAATTTTAGTACAYTTTTTTATGCATAAAGCTATCAGCTCATGTAAATCTTGCATGGAATAATTACTCAATCTTTGCGTAAGTTTTATTGATTCCTTTATCTCCTATTTCTGTTGATTTTTATTTCTGTTCATAGATAAACTTCAACAAAAAGCATTTCAACTTGTTGGCAATGCATATACTTCAATTAAAGCTGATGATTTTGTGGTTTATATGGGAATGCCAGCAAATGAAGCTATTGAAGGTAACCTTTCATAATTACATACCAGTTACTATGTTCTCTTGTAGCTTAAGACTGAATCGAGACTCAATGTAACTTTTTCTGGTGCTAAATWGGCTATTTAGGGGCTGTCTACGGAGTGTGAGAGATGATTTCTTTAGTTTTGTGTCTTCAAGTGCATGAAAACAAAAGAAACCAGCCTACAGAACTGGACTTGACTCACTATATAAACAGTGCAGTGCCTTAGTATAAGAAAGACACTTTTTAAAAATTCTACTGACTATCATAAAATTGTATTGTATTTGTATTGCATTGTATTTTACAAACTTTTTTAATCCATGTAATATTTCATAAATTCACATCTTTTCAAATAAATCATTCTTCAATTGCATTACAATCTTATTGTGTGATTGTCAGTTGCCACAAAGCATGGCTGGACACTAGACAAKACTACAATGCTGCTGACACCTAAGAAAACAGGTACATTTGAAGACATTATTGTATATTGTGTGGTATTAAATTCTTTTGCCACATCTGTTGGTCTATCTGTTTGCTGGTTTATATTTTTATCTGTTATTGTCTGGCAACACAGTTCCCTGTCTTCTCATAAAGAAATATTATTTTACACCCCCAACACCATTTTGTTTCTTCCTATGAATCAGCTTTTCTATCTGTCTGTATGCTTTGCCTGTGGCCCCTTCCCTACAGTCTTTGCCTACCCCCTCCCCTCCCCTCCCCACCCCTCATCCCCACAAAAAACTGCTTTCATCAAGTTTGCTGTTTTCTTGCATGTGTGCCAAATGAAAAAAACTATTTTCAATGATGTTTACTTTTTTTAATTTAATCCAGGATAAAGTTTTTGACAAATTAAATTTTTCTTAATGATATTTACACTATATGTTGTGCTCATTTCTAGATGCATCGGTGATGGAAATCCCCTTAACAGGCGAACAAGAACTTGGCTTATTAACAGATTACGTGTCATTCCTTGAAAACTAAGAACTGTCACGTCCTTTATATAGTTTACCTACAAAATGTTTAAACAATTTGTCACGTGTATCTCTTTTCACAACATGACATTTTGATGTTAGTAAAGATGTTGCTTTGAGGTTTGCTTCCTTTTTTCCTGTATAAATCACCATCAGTCAAGAAAAAATGAAGAGAAGGAAAAACAGTTTCTGGACGTGACCTTGTTGTGCGTAAATATTTTATTAACAAAAGGATTGTAACATCTATTGTGTAAATAACAGGATGTAATCTTCTCCCTTGAACAAGAAACACAAGGCCCTTGTTGTGGGGCATTTCATAAATATCAATACTTGATTTCTAGTCAACAAATAAAATACTAATTTTAGCTACTAGTACGTGAGTCATATATTAAACACTTTTTTAAAATTCATTTCAGTTGTTTTCTAATCTTTCAACTGAAGAAAAATATTTTCACAAATGAAAAAAAAAATCATTCAAATTGTACTTATCATGATTAACAAAATGAATTTTTTCAACCATAGAATGTTTTGCATTATTATTCTAAGATTGGCAAAATGTTGACTTGTTATGCCAAAAAGTGTGGAAAAGGCAAAGATTTGTAAACAGGAAGTTTATTGTTTGATTACAACTTAATTGGCAGAGCCCTGAATACTACCTTTAACCATTGACTATAAATAGGTGATTCTGAAATACTATGAAAGGCTTTGGTGGATTTAGAAAGTAATTAAAAGAGGTATTAAGAAAAAAAGGTGAGGAAGTCGATGTTGATAATTAATGACAATGTCTACTCAAGGTCTGACTATCTTTAATAGTAATATGTCAGGAAATCTTATGTATGATGCCAAGAAACTTATAAGAACCGTAGCACTGATGAAACTACCGTGAAAAAGGTATACAAATATTGAAAAAACGTTGAGAACATTGAATATCCAGAACATTGATAAGGTTGTGAAGCTCAGCTCGAAACTAAAGAAAATCTTGCGTGAGTAACAAAAGATTCCAAAATTATTTATACAATTTACAAATTCAGCATTTAATATCATGGCCATATTTGTAGTAATTTTCATTCCGCTTATTAAGTGCATCAACCCGCTGTGACTCTTTTCAGTTACCGATAGACGTTGTGAGACGTGCACAAAAGTACCGTGTCATAAACAAGTGCAAGAAAGCTAGCAGATGGTCAAATAGTCAGCACGTAAGCGCGCCGTTGTTTGTCTTTRAAATCATCAAAACCTAGATTTTCACCCAAACAAGGTAGGATTTGAAAAATCACAATATCACAATATCACTAGAAAGATACTATAAATTGTCTGATGGAAATTAAACTAATTAGCGAAAGTCTCCTGAAGAGATAGAATAGGAAATTGCCCGTGTCGTTTTGACTGCTAGTTAAATTGGATTGYGTCTGGGATTTAATGCAATTTGAGAAAAATGGTCTTGTTTCAGAGTTTAATAGCAAAATCTTTGATTTAAGTTTTAGATTTTTCATCTGTGAAAAATGAGGTGACAGTTCTGATATTCACTGACAATCTGTTTCCATCCATCGGATAATGATTGAATACTATCTCCATTGATAGAAGAGTAAGTTTTTCATGCTTAAATCATGCACGCTGAATCTTTATTTTCAAACATAAATGATATAACCCCCAAAAGGGATGCCGGTTAACCAAGGCCCTTGAAGCTTATTTTGATGATTTGGCTAAAAAACTGGGCGTTGCATCCCGGCCCCTTTCTCACCTAAACATATTAGATCATGTCATCTCATAGAGTATTGACGCGTTATAGAGGATGATTAGCGTTAGTTGGAGCCCTTTATTTTTACTCGTAACTTCTGACTGAGACTAAAGATTAAAAGTGCCAACATGTGTTATCTGATGTTGATAAATACGCGGTTTTAATACAATGAGCCAATACTGAGTATCTGGAAAATAGTACATGATAATAAGATTATCCCTCTATTCGTTCCCTGAATATTGTTCGGCTTCACGCTTTGACTTCGGCTGCCTTGTGATGTATGGTTTAGCAACCATTCTCACCATAATATAGGCTAGGTGCCAGTTATGCTTGCCAATTACACATTAAACGGCTACYCACATTAACGCTGTTGAGATAAACGATGCATTMATCAGGTAGCCTGCGTAGCGAATCTAGAGCAGGGGCGCTTAGGTCAGTTTAAAAATTTGATTATCAGTGTTTTATTAAGCAATGTTTTCCACTATTCCTAAACATGCTATGAAGAAACAAATGAATTATCCGAGAAACTACAGTCGTCGCTATTCTACTATTCACAAAACGAACATTAACATAACGCTTTTTGAGATAAGATATGTAGAAATTAAATATGTAATTCGTGCAGCAGAAAAGAGCGCACGTCCATAAGTCTAAGCATACGGACACGACTCTTATAATTACGCTGAACAATCGATGAATGTGCGAAAAAACAAGATGCATTATTGAAAGACGTCCATGATTGCTTAGTTTCATAACTTAAATTWAAAAAAAAGAATTTTAAGAATTTGTAAACAGCTGAAGGGTACATTAGTTTTTATTTGAAYTGTTGTGATGCATGCTAATATGGTGAGACAGAATGTCTGCTTGAATTTAGTCATATTTTTTTGCGGGTGTAATCAGTGTTGAGAACTTTCAGCCATAACAGTCGCCTCAATAATATAATAGAGTTTTACGCTAAACGTTATATTCGCTCGTAACAAATTGCAATCATGCTGTGCAATCATGATTTTATGACGAATCCGCTGTTTGCCGTCTATTTTTGTCACTACWTCCACGCTARGAGCGTCAGAACTACAGGGGGTAATGACGTACGGAGCTTCAAATGATCGTTWTTTATGAAAAACRAAATTGCATCAATTTAAAAYTTGACAATTAATACTAAAATCAACTTTTAAGGGCATTAACACCTCTTCTATCTTTTCAATTTCGGCAGTTYAGACCACGGAAAAAAWCATAATTGTGCCATTAAACTAGAAGACGTCCAGTTTGTTATACTTATATTCCTCAATTTCGAAACCGAGCGAAATATGTTTGCAAATACTCCATACCATGTCAAACTTGTCAAATATCGGATTTTTGCTTCCCGGAAGAACAGAGCAAGTAGTTTATATAAACGAATGGCGCGTTTTCGCGTAGGTATTATAATTGCATGGTTTACCGATATCATTTATCTGATTCGTTATATCTCAGTATTCCAATAACCTTCCAAACACAGTCTCTAATTGGCAGTTTCTATTGACTATTTGTAATGACAGTTCTGAATTCGCTCTTAGTGGGTGGGGAGGATAATTTTCAATATTTCGTCTGTTTATACAACTCCTAATAAATAAAAGTCATGTCCCACGTATCAGGTCAAATTGCCTTTTGTACACCTATTTATTAGACGAAGGTTTTTTTAATGATATTTGGAGGATTTGAGAAGGGGTAAGTCTACAAATATTTGCGGCTTTTAAACCTGACAGCAAGTCATGATTGCAATCGATTTCCTGTGTGAATGACTAGAGCCTCGATTCGAACAGGTGAGGCTATAACTACATGGGAGTTTTACATTAAGACATAAATTCAGAGCCGCTGGCTATACATGTATACGTGCCTTTCGGACCAAGTTAAGGTTTGTAGATTTTAAGCATTAACTTGAAAATACAACMTTTAGACARCTATTTTCAGTTTTTAAGTGTTTTGTTGTATATTAAATTTTGCTTTTCGTCAATAATCTGAATCAAAGCAAAGGCGTATTTTCGATAWAWGGTACTCAGGATCCCATTCAACTAAGCCTTGAGTCGCTTGGCTCGATGATTTTTCGCTGGTACAACTGGTTGAAAATAGCTGGCTTTTTTATTTTYCATATCATTGAAACTGAGCTTGATGGACCACTTCTGATGGCTAAAAATTATTTCACTAGCGTTGTATCAGAAAAAATCATCCCMCACTAACTAATATCTCACATCACCTGACTACAGTGTTATATCCATACTTGCGACGTTATTTTATCAATGATAAATAATAACTTTTGATGCATTTTCAGTTCTTTGGCTATAAAATATGATATCARCACAACGGTCGGGACGATTTCGGTTCTACAGAAAGATAAAATCACGARAACTGTCGAGCTTTCACTTTTTAAAAAGCAATATTATAACAATATCGGATTGTTGTTTTTATTTTTCACTGGTTTGATTTTGTTAAAGTGCCGGTAACCCATTTTGAAGTACAGTCCTCAGATTTTCGATATCAGCACAGTGTACTCTGAATGTTTTCAGTTCATAGCCGTAGGGTAATATCAATCCGACAGTCAAGATAACTTCCTCTTTCTAATGGTTTTCAAAACACAGAATTATAGGAGCTTCAAAGTTGCCCTTCCGTACTGATGTGTTCATGGTGGACAGGAAGGACGTTTTAGCTTCATATATTGTATGTTTTGCCTAATTAACAGCAATCAATTCTTGATGCCCTTATGATCAAAAGTATATCTACTCATGTCCTTGGTTTCCCTGTCATTGAGCCTTTTCAAGTTTTTGTCCATTACTTATTTTGTCCATTACTTATTTTGTCCATTACTTATTTTGTCATTGTAAAAGTACACATTTTAAGATTGACTTTTTGTACATCGCAAAACTAGCCAATGTCTRCAACTACTACTGTATCATGGGTTTTCATCTCTTTGAAACTCATAAACTTCACGGGTATAATTGCCATATTAAGGGCTGGCAAACTCGTTCTCGCGAAGGATTAGAATGGTCAACACGTTTTCTAAAGTATGATGAATTGCTTTTTAAAGATGACGTCTATTCTTATCTATTCCTATATTAGTTCTTAAAGATTGATAATCTTGCTTAATTTACAAGCGCTATTTCTGCTCTTATAGCGGAACTCATAAATCAAGGTTCTCTTTTTTGTTTGTTTTATGGCTGAAACGGCCATTTTAAATAAATAATTTTGTTTTTTCTTCTTTTTTTTCAGACAGTTTTAAAATGACTTATTGTCGAGCATTGATAGGTGCCGTTATAAAGTTACTACTCGTCCATTGCTTTCAAGGTGAGTGTAGTTTGTTTTTTACCGTAAGAACAGTTTTGTAGTTYTTCTGACCACATTGATAAAACAGCAAATGATTTCTATTGAATTGCGCAAAATAAACTATTACTGACGTCAATCTATACAGCAACGAGAGCAAACAGTAYGATATGGATTGACAAAGAGGCTTCATTAAACAAACGTATATTTTACTTTAACAATGATGGTCTTAAGTTTGTCATTTAAAACGGTCAGAATTGCTAATTGCAGTGTTTTAACGTCGAATCGTTTTACAGAGCTAATTATTTCCATGAAGAGTTTACATTTTGTCGTTATAGCAACTACAAGCTCTCCAAGAAATGCTTAATTAAAGTAATCGAAATAGTGATGATGACAACGTCTAGCATTCTGCAATTCAATTCCAAGAATAGTGACATTTAATCATAATGTATCAAATGGGCGGACGCGGTTAGATGAGTAGAAACGTTTTTTTAATTGAAATGCTTTTATTTTGTATTCAGAGCCATTAAGCATACAAGCATCGTCATCTGATATTACAGCTGCTACTACTACTGTCAGTCAACGAGGAACACAACCACCGCCTCCACCACCACCACCGCCTCCACCACCACCACCACCACCACCACCACCACAAGTCTCAACAACACAGACTACTAGGCCACTTACGTCATCTCCGACAACACAAATATCACCGTCAATGCCAAGTAAATGCTATACTATTTGTTACTTTGAAATATACAATCCACAATMCACAGAATAAATTATCTCGTATAGTTCCTTTAATTATTCCATGGATTAAACGCACTCACTCCGTGAAACAAAATCACAAAAATATAGTAAGCGGTAATTGCTAATTTGGTGTTGTCATGGAAGTGTCATGGTTCTTTATTTTCAAGCTMAATCCTTGAGGATTAATGTGAAAGACTGACAACTTCTTCCTTGCGCCTGGGGCCATCTAATCTCTCTTTTACCAATGATTATTCTCACAAACCCCGCCCTTTCCCCCACTGAAASTATTTGCGTCCTTACTCCTATGTAACAATTCAGGCCAGGGYATTTGTCTGATATTGTTTTTGTGTCAATTATAGCTGATATCATCAAGCGATGGCTTGACAAATCTTTACTKAAAATCAACCTCAAKGACATTCTAAGGTATAATGACGACATTGCTRATTTCTCCTGTGGGATCGATCGTTGTGGTAAGGAAGAAAGACGATTGTCGACGTTTGACAATGGACCAAAATGCTTTTGTGATAAATACTGTGAGTCATTTGGAGACTGTTGTTATGATTACAAACAGAGGTGAGTTCAACTCTTACCAAACTACTTCCTCATGCAAGATTTATTAATTTATTTATTTCACTTTTATTGATAGTTGCAAAAATAWAAGTGCATCAGAATCTGAGGAACACGAACCATCGTCTTGCAAGTACCAAATACCTGCAACATTCTATGGCGTGACAGTCATCAACACCTGTTCGTCACGCAATTCCCCAAAGGCGGGGCCCAATGGATGTAACGCAAACGAACAAGATGTTCTGTCTCTACTACCTGTGTTGGATTTAAGCTCCAATAAAACTTATGGTAACGTCTTTTGTGCGTCATGCRATGACAAGAAGAACGTCACGCTATGGACTGTACAAGCTTCTTGTAAACAGACATTTASTGGAAACTATTCTGAACCACAGMAGAAAAAACTGATGGATTTTGTTGCTCATAATTGTCATCTTAGATTTTACCCTCCAAAACGTTTCAACTTTCACCACCGCCTTTGCATCCCAAGATTACACGATAAGCATTACAAGTCAATAAATAATTCACTTGACGAGGAGCAGCTTAGGAAATTATGCTTGTCATACGCGTTCCCTATGTGTGCAATCACTCCTAACTTAACYCTTCGTTGGTTTAGAAAYCCKCATTGCATGCTTTATCAAGGAATGCGTCATTTTRAGGACGCRTACACCGAGTGGCCTTCCCACATTAAACCAGAAAAATTACCGCCACTGACGATCTTCTTTGATTTTCAAGAAACAAAGACCTACTCCATTAGCAGTAAGCTTTCTAATGAGAGTAATCCCAAACAGCTAATAACAAGACACATCACTTGCCCAGAAGGTCAAGGTTATGATGTGTTTTCTGGGCGTTGCAGAGAATTTTACATAATTGAAACGTACCATACAGAGACCAATCCTGACAATGCAACAAATTGTACCTATATTAAGCTTAAGGAGGACGAATATCRTCTGTTTGATAATAACACCTTGCTCTATGCCAGCAAATTCGTGCCGAAGAAAAACTACTACAAAATCAACAACACTTTGTACGTGTGCGTAAACTTAACAAAGAACTTCACTATATTGGAGTCAAAGCACAAGCCCCRCTCCGTGTTTAACGATGTGCTAGTTGGAYTGACGGTTACTGGATATATACTTTCAATWATTGGTTTAATCCTACTGGTTATGACCTACGTTCTCTTGCCTGACCTCAGAAACCTCCCTGGGAAAATCATTCTTAGTTTAGCGATGACCATGTTGGCCTACATCATGCTTTATTTCTTCATCAATCGATCAGACCATCGMTTTGTCTGCCACGTGGTTGGAATTGGTTTACACTTCTGTCTACTGTCCATGTTTGCTTGGATGAACGTGATGGCCTTTGATATTCATTATACTTTCACAAGAAAAGGTAAGACATCCCTYTTAACTTTGTGCGATGTTGCACTGCATGTAACTGAAACAGGTCTAATGTAAACAGCAGAAGTGATCTTTTTAATGCATTTGAGCTGAAACATCTGAAGAAAAGGATCTTAAAAGAAAGCGAGTTTTGTGAAGATATCAGCCTTCAAGTGTAGACTCGTCTGATGCAGCTGTTGTTATGATCCTCAGGTCAGAGTAGTGATCGAAGAACAGGGAGTGGTTTCATCACAGGTGTTTATCTGAGATATGCACTGTACGCTTGGTTTGTGCCTTTGTGCATAACTGCCGTGTCYGTTACTCTGGAGATTACTCACACTTTCTTGATTGGATACGGTAAGTAATAAATTGATCGATTYATCATTTATTCATCTGGGCCCGATTGTTTAGAATTCGATTTACGCTATATAAATACTTGGTTAATTCTTAGAAAGCCTATGGATACTAGAAGTCCAGGATTAACGCTAATAGACCAATCCCGAATTCGCTTGGATGAACACGGAACAATGGCTTCATTTCGAGGCTGGAGTTTTATCTTTTGTCGAAAACTCCAGCCTCGGAATGAAGCCATTTGCCATTGCCGGAACAACCCGGCCAGGGGCCCTGGTGCTGATCGCCACGAATGAAGGATAAAGTTGCCCACTCCTTAGGTTTTAAATGCGATTTTATCCGGTGGATAAGGAATTTTCCGGTGCTGGATAGCGCTATTCACCATTGATACATCCGACCTCTGATTTACTGTATGCTGGGCTCACAACATCATGCTGATCCGAGATCATTTCTCTTTATATTCTATCCATTAAATTACTTACAGCATCATGCTGATCCGAGATCATTTCTCTTTATATTCTATCCATTAAATTTACTGTATGCTGGTCTCACAGCATCAGTGTTATTCATACTCTGTGTGTGTGTTGTTTTTTTTTAAATCAAGCATCTGGACCTTACTGTTTTATCAACAACGTTTACGCCAAAGTCTACCTACTGGTTATCCCTGTGGGACTCATCCTACTGTACAACACTTTGGCCTTGTGTCATACGCTGATTGATATTAGGAAAGTACAAAAGGTAACTACTACTATCAATAAACATTATTCACGGCATAAATAGAAGACTTGTACCCAGTCGCTTTTCTTTCACYCTCCCATCAACCTCTTCGAGCGTAGCAAAAAAGAGTAACGCTGCTTTGCCACGTGGTCTCAAGTAACCCATGATGATAGATGACAGTGAAGTCGGCTTTAGCGATGTCCTGAATATGACAATTGAGTCTTAAGAATTGCACTTATGACTATTATAGCCAAGAGTGGCAAGAAAGCAAACACTGAAAAGCAAGAAAACGTTAACTGATCAACTAGTACTAAATACTACTGAATTGTACACATAGCTTACACATGCCTTTGTTTCCAACGTCTAATCAGGCCTAGTAACTATATTTTACGCTTTTTGTGTTTGGACTCTTTTAAGTGTAGCATTTAATTTACGATGTCTGTATTTTAGCAAGCCATGAAAGCGACCAATCAAAAACACAACGTRGATCTACCGCTCGTCTGCGTCAAGATGACGTCTGTCATGGGTGTCACGTGGATTCTGGGTTTCGTTGTTAACTTCAAAGCCTTAGCATTTCTRCAATATCTACATGTCATCCTAAACAGCTTACAAGGTATAAATAACTTTCGACCATCAAATAACTGATTAATTTTGGACTTCATAATACGTGCACAACTAGCCTTCTTCGCAGACTTTGTTTCAAACGGAAACTTTTTCTTTGTCTTGTTGGTCTTCCTGTGGTAATTTCTGTGACCGAGAAGAACTGATTCCCGCTCCAACTCTTCTTTGCTTAACACAGGATTCCCGCGTAGTAGAGTTGCATAGTCCATATCACAAGCCCGCCATTTTGAATGGTTTTACAATGTATCATGGGATATATATCTCCCTTTCTTCATCAAAACAAATMGCTAAAATCGTAAAACACTAGTTTCGATTTTTCCACAGACAAAATATGTTTCTTTTCATTTTTGCTTGATTTGCCTAGTAAATGGAAATTCTTGATTAACTGTACATTTTTTGGAGATTTTCCTTGCTGTATTTCCTTGCATGTTGATATTTGTTTGTTTTTTCGCTTCTGAGATTAATTACAATATCAATATTTCCCAATGTTTTTCGAAACCTGAGTCTACGTTACAGACAACTGGAGCACTGACATCGTTTTGCACTTGTTTGCTCATTTATCAATCCCAATGTGCACTGCGTCACAAGACTTTCCGCGGGTTGCGATATGGACTATGCTAAGGAGGCTAGTATATAAGGCATGGTGTGAGCATTTTGTTAGACAAGTTCTCCCATGCAAATATATAAACAGTAATAGCAATCATTGACTTCAAAATTTACTTCTGTCATATGCTTGTAGGGTTGTTAATATTCATCTCCTACGTGCTCAACAAAAGAGTTTTTAAAATGTACCGTTCCTAYTTCAACACGATGAGAGGAAAGCGCCTTTCAGTGACGAGCAAGAAAAGTACAAACGTCAGTCCTTCAACCTGATCCTCCACGATTCACGTCTGGACAGTGAATGCATACATGTATGGAACTYAACTTTGCTCAAGTGAAATAAGGGTGTCGGTATTCAAGTTTCACATACTATATCCAATCGGTCTACGAACCATAGTTAATAGTCTATTAACTATGTACGAACCAATGGACTTTATCACTGCATAAAATAGAAATCTCCAAACTTGAAATATCTTTAATTGGCTGATTGCTGTTTGYTATAATGACATTCTAATCTGATGTGGAGTCAACATATCCTTTCCGCTAGGATGGATTAGAATAGATCATATATTGCGGCGGAAAAGCGCGCGTCCAGTGACAGTGGATATGCGTTTATCGTTTAAGTCAGAACCTCACAGATAATTACTTATATCCCTTATGATAAAATACAACTTGAWTCACATGCATTTGTATAAAAACATTTTCATTACTCGAAATTTAAGCCGCCAGATCATAGCAGCGGACGAGGTTTTGTTGTCCATGTATACTTCTAGTTTTATTATATAGCACTTGCTTTCGAGTAAAACTTGCATGGGTTTCTTCGCCGCCATTTTGTACTCGTGGAAATGAGGTGATACCTCCAAATAGTGTAATGGAGCCAATGTTTCAGCAAAAAAATATACGGCGTAACTAATCAATGAAAAACTATGTATATAATCTACATCCACAAGTCGTCTTTCTATAAGCAGGGGAAAACTTTTGGTCATTCAATTACCATACGCAAATTTAGAAACTTTGCAGGGGMAACAAAAATGATAAATCACATGCAATCGGATACAATCAATTGTAAATAGAGTAGGGTCCTATAGCAACAGATAATAATGTAAAATAAAGATATATATAGTGAAAATCAAAATATCTTGCAAGTTGTCTTTATTCGTCAATACTCGACATTAACCTCTAATTGGTGGAAATGAAAAAAGTGAAAAATCKAGGAATGCATCATGTTTTGGTATTGCTGTGTCAGATCGAAAGTAAACCCAACACGAGCGTAGAATCAACTAATGATAACTTGAAAGCCGAAAAAAGCACAACAGAGTCACACATTTGAGCGTCTTCTTCACACTTAYATACCATATGGAAAACTGAATTTAATTGACTATGACGGAAGTGCAGCCGGTGTGTAATTTTATATTAAGACTTCGGAATAAATATCATTCTACCTCATCCTGGGAATAATATTTAAAGTTCGGTCAAAAATACGAGACAAACGCTGTAAAAAGTAAMTAAAAACACTGTAATTCAATGTGAAAAGAACTGTTCATTGCAAAGTTAAGTGTGTACACAGAGCACAAAGAAAATGTCCATCATGTTGATTCAGATATAACGRGAGTTTTACTGAAATGACAGCTATCAACCAAGCGTTAGTCGTAAAGACAATAAAGWATTTGTWTATAAAATGCTTTTACTACGAATTTATTTCGACTTAAACCTCTGTGYGAAAGGGTTTGTAAGAGAATAACCCTCGRCTCCAGGACTACTCGTCACTGAGCAGGTGTGCTACTTTTCATTATCTCTTCAAGATCGGTTGTCAGTTGTTTTCATCATACTTTAAGTCTGAAGAGTGTTTTTATTTTTGATTGTTATTTTTCTCTATATTGGATATAGGACCAATTAAAGTTGTCTTGTTTCTAAAGTGAGTCTATATCGCTAACGCGCATCTCATTAGGCGGAAACCATTCAATTCTTGGCCTCTAGAATTATCATCGCATAAAAACGACGAAACTTAGATCAGCAAACATCACTTTTCTACTAAACAATGGCTAACAGCTCGTATCAAGTACAGTTTATAGCCAACCAAACGAAACTGTTCAACGATAACAGCTCAAACCAGTCAGGTGCATCCATGGATCTACCGTTGTACTCAATTATCGCTTTGACGACCATAACCGCCACWTTCGCTGTGTTAGGAACCTTTGGTAATGTCATAGTTCTTTTTGCCATTTTGCGTAATTCCAGCTTAAAGACAACCACTGGTTTGTTCATCTGTAGCCTGGCATTCGCTGATTTGATTGTAACTTCTGCAAGGCAGCCTTTGATGATATTCGACTTGAACAACATTGATGGGCTTGTCAACAAGGAGGCAGAGTATAACGTATTTCGATCAATAGGATGTGTGTCTACTCCTGCATCGTTAGCATGCATGTTTGCAGTCACTATTGATCGTTTGATTGCGATCAAGCGCCCTTTAAAATATCCTCTGATAATGACAAAGAAACGAGCTTTGTTAATCATTATAGTTTGTTGGGTACTTGCAGTACTGGTCGCTGTTGCACTCCATTTCATACTTGATGCAGCAAGATATTTCATGTGGGGTGCAATCGTACTATGTTTACTCGCGACRATATCTATCTATGTGTATTTGTTTTTTATCGCCAAGCAGCACCAGRTCAAAATCGACAATACAAACAACAATTCACAGGTTCAAAACGACGTTAAATACCAGAARAAAGAAAGAAAAGCAGCTAAAACTACTGCATTGGTTGTTGGAGTCTTCACGGCGTTTTACACTCCTTTTCTCGTTGTTCCCATTGCAATGAACCCCAAAGAGAAGGAATTCTATCATGGATTCCTCTGGGTTCATTCTCTGTGCTTATGGAACAGTTCAGTCAATCCATACATCTACTGTGCAAGAAATGTAAGATACCGCAGCGCCATTAAAGCACTTYTCGGTATGAGAAATAAGGACAATAAATCGACCAGTAACGACAAATAATGGTTTATACAACTGATAATAAACCGATCTCCATGACTGACATTAGAAATGCTTTATTTGCCCTCGCTTCAATGTAAAAAAAGACTATAATCATTTAGAAAATGGAATACAAGTATAAGGCTCTATTCCATGGATTGTCCCAGTGATGTCATAAATTATTKTAATTATATCAAACTCTGCAATGAATCCGATTTTAAACGTGCGAACTCGGCTTCAGTGTTTATTACGGTTGACGCCTTAAAAACAATTTATGAAACACGAGATGTAATGACGTGTGCTATATATATATTGCAAAAACTTGGGCCTAAAATTACTCAAGTACAGGAACTGAGTTTTTAAATCCTACCGGAGGTCTACGATTATATTCCCGACAACTACAGATAATACAACACCGCCATGGCAGATGTTCATTTTCATTTATTTATGATTCAATATGAAGCTTGCCAGKTGTATGATGACAATTTTACCTCTATCCATTATGACAGGCGCCAAAGACGCGTGCTGTATCGTATATCGTCAAAAAAACGTATTTTAAGAGTCCCCCTTCAGCGAAACAAAATCTTTCACAGCGGCAATCAATTGTTCATTCACAAAGTTGACATACATACTTTTCTACGCGGAACTATCAGCATAAGAATTCGCTTTGTGCTTCGGCAGAAACATRAAAGACTCAGGAACTGGCCCAAGTAGCATTTCACTGAAATAAAACGCGTACTTATTATTTCTAAGAACAATATCAAAGTTTAATTCATGTATAGTATAATCACAAGCAGCAGTGTTTTACCGAGCCGCAGGCGAGTGGTGTATACCTTATTTTAGTCCAGTCTTCGCTGTAGCGGCTTGCCATTAGAGTTTCCAAGTCATCTCGTCCTTGGTAAAGTGGTGGACGTTCATTGATATGTTGTGGTGGTCGCTCTAATAATCCAACAGGAATATACCTATATTACAATTGTAAATAGTTACGTACATARAAAAACACAATCGATATAAAATACAATTATGGAAAAAGTACTCTATCACCATAAAAAACAAAAGAAGAAATAGTAAGATAAGCATCAAACGTAATGGTTGYAATGSTWTCACTCCTTTGAGCTCTTGACCAATCAGAGRCCAACACTGAAAGGCTGTCTTATCGTCTACTGACCTGCATAAAAACGATAGCCACTCAAGTAGGAAACGCCGAGTATTTTCTACACCCTAAAGACATATAAGAATACATATAAGACCTAAGGTTAGGATTAGAAATATGATTTGAAAAACTGGAATCCGTTTATCAACAGTTTAAATCAGGAATCAAAAGAGGATTTTTGGGATGAAAACAGTTGATAAAAAATAAGARTTTGTACCTGTGTGTCTGATCCCCAGTGCTCAAGACCACAATTAACATATTCTTTCAACATCTCGAATCTCTCTTGAGATGATATGTCCCAGTGCCTATTAATGTTAAAATGCACTTTAAGAGATTCATTCCTGGTAATACGAAAGACTTCTAATTATCACAATAATATTTAATATAACAGCATTTAGCATGAATGTGTTCACCTTTTTTCCTTTATTTCAGTGAAAATCCATGGTTTAATAAGRGCTCCTCTATTGCAGAATAAAGTAAAACAGCATTAGGTGTATTGGGTCAGCTTATAATCCATCCTGTGCACATAATATTGATCACACATAAGACATTAAAATGATTAACTTACCTAGCAATCATAAGACCAGATACACCTGTCTGCTCACGTCTCAACATTGCATCCTCATACGACAATACATCACCATTTCCTGGAAAAATAGAAGCATGTGCAATGATGAAATGCCTGGAAATAACATACTTATTTTAAACAATCTTAATCCAAAGTAATGATGATTAATCATTATCATATGTATCATACCAAACAATGGAACAGGTGATGCAGCCTCCGCACATGAATGGATATATTCCCAGTCTGCACACTTGGTATAGCGCTGTTCTCTTGACCGTCCATGGACCTTAACAATGTKACAACATCCAATTATCAAAAAATACTAAAAATGCTTCTGTGCTTATTTAGGAAGAGGAAGATTCTACTTTCTCAATACTTTGTCGTAAAGTTTCAACAGATAACAGACCTTTTTGTGGTTAAAACCGATTTTACCGACTAAAWAAGTTTAGTATAAACATACTAACGGTCTATTAATCATACTGTGCTGTGATTGGCTACTCTACTAATGGTCTAATTTGTGATAGACCACTCGCGGGAAAATCAAAATGGCGGCATCACATTAATATATTATTTTAAGGATATTTCAATTTGTTTTCATTACATGACCGATTAGTATGTTTATACTAAAACAATTAGACCTCTCGGCCTCGCGGAATYGGCCTCATGGGCTATTAGCTCGTAGTCCACTCGACCTCGAGGTCTAATTGTTAAGTAGATGTAGATGTAGACGTAAAACCAAAGCGGGCAAMAAGTTTCCTGCATCCCTCAAATGAGCAAGAGTGGCAAGTAATGTCAAAATTATGACTTTTTCACCATCAAAAGATTATTTTCCTGACATTGCAAAATAATAAACAAGCTCAAAATTGACAACTTTTTGGGGTTGTTGCCCAAATTTGCCTCGCTTTGGTGCAAAACCACAGGCTCCTAGTGCAACTTGTTTCATAACCACGAAAAGGGTGGTTTGACTAGTGTTGATTGTAAGTCCGGACATAAACAAACCAGTATACATTTAGTTATTTATAATCATCTACTCACTGTAATCAATGATGCACCCCATGCACTGACATTATGGACCAGCTTATGTGCATTCCAGGTTTTCTTGTTGTCATGGATACCAGCTCTCATTTTCACTGTGACTGGGACATCCAATACCTGTGTTAATTAAATAATGGCTAGTTAAAATAATAAATATGTGAAAGCATAGAGTTCATTTTTACAGCAAGCACTGACTGGCTATAATTTCATCAGCTCAACCTATTAGAATATCATACACTTACATCAACCATTCCAYGGACTATTTCTTCAAATCTACCTTTTCTTTCCATCAAAGCAGATCCTGCACCCTAAAATTAAAAAAGTAGGGTACCTAAAACATATCACCCAAAGATGACAGTAACATGGCAAATGATGAATCCTTGTTTCAAAACTTTTATGGCTTTAGTACAATAAAATGATAGTGTGCATTATTAATGTTTCTAATAAAAAATATGGTATTGTTACCTTGTTAAATACCAAGTCAATTGGACAACCTGTATTAATGTCTACAAAATCCAAAGAAACTTCATTTTGCAGTAGCTCAGCACACTTGGTCATACTATCAGCAAATGATCCACAAATCTAATGATTACGTAAAAAGAAAAAAAAACACTTAAGAGAGTAGAATCTACAGCATTTTTCTTTGACAACTCTAACTACAATATGTATTTATACCAGAAAATATAAACTTTTATTACCTGGACACCAAAAATATCTTCAGTATGATGCCTTTTTAATAAAGCCCACTCTGATTGTTGACCCTGAAATGATTGCAATATTTACCTAAAGGATTGAGGTACTACATTTTATGGTCAATGGCACCAAATATGAACCATGAAGCAATCAAGCTTTGAAACAGTTGTGCAAATGAATGATTGGTATTTCAACAGGTGATATATACTGTATCAAACAATGTTGTTTCTCTTTTTTTTTATTGTCCCTGGTATATGGGAATAGCTTTCTTGTACAATGGAATACAATATGAACAACAGTCACTGATAACAACTAACTCCTTCTCAAATGCTTTTATAATACTAAAATAATAGTAAAGACTCCAATGTGTACTCTTACCTGAAGCAATGTTGTACACATAGCCATCTCACTGCAAGTTATATCAGCTCCATATTGTTTGCATATTCTTCTGAATGGAAGGTTACCAACCTAAAGATACAAACCATATCAATAGGTTAAGTCATTTTTCCTGGCCAATACCACTTGTTTATGCTAGCGGAGAAAAATATTTATACAAAAATACAAACACTTGTTAATGCAGGCTAAAAGTTACMAAACCTAAATATATCAGTTAAAAGTAAATAATTTACTTACTGTAGTTAGGGGTGCCAAGAAAAGCTGGTCAGCAAAGTTTATCTGAAAGATTCATGAAAAATGAACACCATCATTTTCTATGAACTATAAATAACATTGGCAACTAAAATAAAACACAAAAAAGTTGGGGAAATAGTTGGGATTAGACATACCCCTAGTACAGACAAAGCAGGCTTAACTACTTTACATTCAAATTTTAATTCATGTTTTCATGAGAGATGCCATGCAAAGTGAAAGTTGTCTCACCTTTTTCTTTTCATTTGGCCTAAGTCTGACAACATCCTCATCTGTTATACTACCAATAGGCTTAGAGCCAACATTCTTCTGAGTTGCACCTTTAAATTGTTTCTTTAATGTCGACAAATACTTCTCTGCTCTTGGAAATAAATATTGCTTTTTTCTCAAAGAAACTTGTAAATCCTTTCTTAAAGTATCTTTAGTTTTCAAGTTTTCCATTTTTGAGCATAGCTCCTCATCTACAATGCTTTTAAAATTCTCATCAACATGGCATTTGCTAAACCGGCAGTTTATACCATATGGGCATTTACCAAATTTTCTAAACACTACACAATCATCACCTATATCAGGGAGCTTGTTTTTGAGATATTCCTCCATGGAATGCCCATAAAAACATTTATCTCCTCTTAAACACTGYTCGCCATTAGCTATAAATGAACATAGTTTGGAGGTATGATCAGGACGTGGCTGCCGSGGTCGGTTTTTGTTCATTCCACGTTTTCCTTTTCTTTTCTTATGAGGAGGTTCATCAACATGTTCAGAGTTTTTGCTTTCTTCTAAACTTTCTGTRCTTTTTTCATTATCCATTGGTGGCTGGACTGGCTTGTCTACTTTGGTCTTTTTAACTAAAAACCTTTAAACAAAATAACTTCATTCATGAGAATAGATGTAATATAAAATAAATCTAGTCAACTTTTATAGAGTAAAATGTTCCTTACTGTGGTTTGATCCTGGCGATTCCATCCCGTGGTCGGTCATTGGATGGATCAGTTCTTGCAGAAGAGTCCTCGTGGTCAGCTGAGACGGGACTTTTTTCGTTTTCATCAGCCATATTTGACTTTTTTAAAGTAACAAAGTAAATTCTACTAAACTAAGTGTTTACATGTATCAGATGTGAATCGGCTTTGGTGGAGTAGTGCCAGCTAGAATACACACAGAAACTACATGCGAAAATGGAGAAGACGATTGCAAATACTGTCAGGCGTTCTTCTCTTGCTATGTGCCACACCTCCTCGTCCACAAATAACCACAGGAAGACCATGAATACTTGAGACCTTGCTGTTGAAAGTATCAGTGGTGATTTTTATGTAATTTGCGACTGAAACAGTATTTTGATGCATAMATTAATCTTGTCAATTTGAATATTTTTTTACCCAGTAGCATGAAGGAGGATTGAATTTATAAATGATGGATGGAAAACGTAGGGTCAGTGGGGTGGGGTGGGGTCCATAATTAAATAGGGTCCAGTTTCATGGTCACCCCTATATTTTACAATTAGAAAATACAATATAGCAAAAACAAACAAATTCACAAATATTTTATTTGCAATTGCAATAATTACACCTCCTGCATGAAATGTCTTTCAGCTCAATAATATTTGAAAATACTTTTATCTAAATTTCTACAAAGTAAATACCATGGAATTCTAGGAAGCTTTTTTTTGCTCTCTTAATTTATGAAATATATTTATCTTGAAATGTAAATAAATATTATTCAACTTAAATTTGGATTTTTTTAGCATAATTTATCATTAATTTTAAATTTAYATCAGTTTWTATATAGAACTATGTGTTTTCTTTCTTTGGCATTTTTATATGAATTAATATTTAAGCAACAATGCATCTTTTTGATTTTTTTTGTAMTGAATTTTCAGATGTTATTGTTTTTGGCTTATAGTTCTTTTTTCGAAATGGTTTTTTTAAAGCTACTAATACACATAATTCAAAAATATCTTGCAATCKATCTTTTTCTTTGGCCGAACATTCAAGATATATTTCAGAGTTGATTGCTTTACTCATGTTATTTCCCTGAAAAAAGAAACAAAATATATTTGTTCTGCTTTTATCAATAACAATAATGCATCATCTTTATCATCAGTGGAGGAGATTCTGGCTCTTTAGGTCAGGTCTTTAAATTCACAATTACTTTAATACCTGTTTATATGTTGAGGGCATCCTTGTGCTCTTTATTGTGTCTGTATTTAGCTTTTTCTCACTTCTGCAATCAGATTTGCAGCCGACAAGAATGGAAGGTTTTCCACTGCACATTTCCTTAGCTTCCTTTGACCACTACATCAGCAACAAAACAGTTTTTCAAAATAAAATTCAGTATTTTTTTATGTACTTTGGATTTTGGAATGTAATATACAGCTGCAATTTACCTTGCTATAAACATTTTCTAGAGTTTCCGGACGACTTATGTCAAAACAYATAACAATGACATCTGTATCTTGATAGGATAGTGGTCTGATATGGTCAAATTCAGACTGACCTGGAGGTAAASATAATGTAAACAAAAACAAAAATATATATTTATCAATGGAAAATTGGACAAATAAAGACAATTTRATCATATATAAACTATATAGTGAAATTCTTACTTCATATTTGTTATTAACAAAATATTCAGTCATTGGTTTATTCCATGCTAGACTGCCCATGTACTTCGATACATCAATCAAAAAGAACAATGGCTGTTAATTCTCGGCACGCTTACGTCTCAAACAHTGGACAAGTTTGGTATTACATCATGGTCTGCTCGTCCGATTTTTTTTGTAAGTTAAATTTGTAATAACAAACCTAAATTCACTTTGGGACTTTCAACAATTAGGTTAAAAACTTTCGAAAGGGGCTCTTAACATGGATAATTTTCAAGAGCTCTTGCGGGTTTACAGGGGGCGTTTTGTGGCACGTAGAGTACGTATTTTGTACAATTCATCCAATACAATATACGCAAAACGAAAAGGCAAACTATAATAAACCGCCAAGATCTAACATTTACCTGAGGTATCCCAAAAAGATAGCTCGATTATTTCACCTTCAATCTCTACCTCGGATGATAGACTATTGAATACTGTCGATTCGTAAGCCTGTACAAACAAATGGAAGAAAAGATGTCGATGCGTAAGCCTATTAAAGTTTCTGTACTCTTCACRTAAACGAGGATTTGCCAGAGTAAAGAACTATTACTCTAATTTATATAGGTAAAATAATATGAAATCAATAAATACGCACTGTAAACTTAACTAATAGGCTTGTGGTTACCGGAATATCGACAAGAAATAGTTAAAGCACTGCAAGGGACTATCCAAATAATAATGGCGTTTTTCTTACCTCGGGAAAGATGTCTTTGACAAACGTGCTTAGAAGAGCCGTTTTTCCACACTCGCTGTCCCCTATAAAAATGACCTTGATTTTCTTTTTCTGGAAATTATTCATAGCTTGTGTATAAAAGAGGTCACAAATGACCCATTCTCACAAAAAGTTCTTGAGTTTTAGAAATAGGAACGATAACACAGACGCGCTTGACGCGCTCTAGGTTACCAAAATAGTACAGATGTCACACTATCGTCAACCAATCAGTGAGCGGGGATTTTGCTTAACACAGCGATCCCATTTTCATGGTACAGATTTTTTMTCAAGTTTTTCTACTTGAATGAGAGACCAGACCAGTACAGTCAATCTTGCAATCAACATTTCATTCAATCAATATCTTTACCTCCTTGATCAATCAGAATTAAGTACTTTTTCTTTTGAAGAACATACAAGCCATTTTCCGGTGATCATAGTTTTCTACTCGAGGTTTGCTTCTGGTTTTCAAGTAAACTCCAAGGTTGACTAAAGCAGGATGTTCTATAGGATACCAGTTGTGTTAACATAGATGTTCTTCATGCATCACTAGTAAGAATTCAAGAGAGAGTGGGTGACCGGCCCGGCTGGCGAGATGATTGCTACTCACCCATGAGGGCCATGAGCCCGCACCCCCTAGTCTACACAGTGTTGTTGCGAGAGTTCTCTGACGGATTTGAGTTATTCCTGTCTTATTGCAGTCCCCGAATAAACCTTGAACTGTGGAGAGGGAAAAATAACGTAACATTTTGTAAAAATCCTCCCTTTTGTCCCCTTTAATAAACACCGCGGTCAAACATCTGCGCATGCGTGGCTTTTTCGAAAACAAAATGGCGGACAGTGAAGCGTGGCGTTAATTGTTTTTGGATATTCTTCGTATTTTTCCTCGGATTTCGGGCTTTGATCGGTAACGAAGTTTATTTAACATCTTAATTGTTCAATCTGCGAAAGAACTACAGGCAAGCAAGCTTCAAGGCAAGTAGAAATTGTGTAATTTAATGTGAAAAACATCGAATTATAACCTTAAACTTTACATTTTACTCTTATATTCTCCAMAAAACACATATTTTTCTGCAATGAAAGCATGCAGTATCCAAATTGGATTCTTAAGTAACTGATCTCATTTCCTTTCAAAACTCTTCTGTTTGTGCTTTTACATGATATCTTAAGAAGGTAAGTTTCAACCTTGAATGATCACAGAAATAGCACAGTTTTCAAGCCTCGCTTAATAAGTTAAATTTKAACCTTTTAATTGAATTTTACAAAGGTAATACTGCACATGTTGACATTACAACTCATAAGTTGCTTGATGTTTACCAGGAAGCTCTCTAATGATGCCAGATTACTGTAGCCAAAAAGCGCACCATGGTTCCCGTGTTGATGACTATCCATGAAGAGAATATTGTCTTCTTTTCCAACAAAGSAAATGGACATGGCATTGATGATCACGATGGCAGCTATGTTAGATTCTTGTAAAAGTCTTTGCAAGAAAAAGGCAAGAGAAGATTGTGGTACAGCAGGATTTCCATTGACAAATTCAACRTCAAATGAATATTCAACGTCAATTCCTCCTCCTGATAATAAAGGGTGTGCTGCAACTGCTTCAGTAACAGCAAAATGGTCAGGACGCCCACCTGTAACTTGATCATGCATTTTATTGCCTTCTGTGATGCACGAAATCATTATTAATTGCCATACTGGAGACAGACTTTGTCGAGGAAAGGGAAGAGTTAATCTGTTTATAACAAAACATTTGGAAAGAAGAAGGGCAATAAAAGTACAAGCATTTGATCCATTTCTACCATTCAGAGTGGACTGTGACACATTTCTGCCAAGAAGCCAGAACTTTCCGTTTTGAATATTGATGGTTGTAATAACTGTTGAAGTGTTAGGTGTGCTTCTCTGAGGTTGCTGAGAGCTTTGTTGATTTTGCTGAGTAGAACTGTTTTGGGACTGAGTGTTCTGAAGTTGTTGACAATTTGAAGTGCGTTGAGCTGAATACATAGAGGGCTGTGGAACTTGGAAGGTATCAAGCATGTTTTCTATAAATGCATTCCATTGTGGTGATTCATAGTATTGAGGGTCATGRCTGCTGACTTCAGGAATTTCATCATCATCWTGGTCGTCRTCATTAGTGTTGCTATTATCATCATCATCTGCTGTGTTGTTTGCTTTGGTGGAGGTTGGCGAAAGTAGAGATTCATTGAAYGATTTTGTTAGGAAGTTTACTTTTTTGAGAAGCGGCTTGGTACAGTGAGAACATCTGTTATTAAGCTTTTGAAGACATTGCTTGTGAAACATATGGAAACATGGCAGTCTTATAACATCAGAGTCTTCTTGGCTTCTGCATTCACATCCATCAAAGTCGCACACCTTGTGAGGGTCTGGGGCACTAAGTGGATACTCATTTAAAAATTTGTATGACAGTGGCATTGCCTTGTTATCTATTGTCCCAAATGTCTCAAGATGGAATTTAGGTCTGCCTTTGGGCTTCCCTGCTTTGGTTGTTTCTTGTGGAAGCTACAGTAACAAAATTTCATATCGTAAGTACACGGCCATTATTTAAATTTAATTACATCTACATGTATATTAGATGCACCCATGAACATAAATTATTGACATGCGCTTGCACAAGAGCAAAATGATAGCAAAAAAATAGTTATTTCACTACTATTTTGTTGCACTCAAATATTCACATGACGAGCTAACCTTTTTTGATTTGCCAAGATTAAAACCAATTTTCTGAAATAGTGTCATAAGAACTTCTGCTGTCTTTCCTGCTACCCTTTTTAGATTTTTTTCTGAATTTGTCCCTCTCTTGTATGGTCTAACAAATGCATTAAAGAAGGCTGTAGCTGTTGAAGATGCAGCCAATGCAATTGCGGTATTTCTTATATCATTCCCGGTGTTGTATATGTTGATATGGAATCGTAGCAGTGAATGCCAAATCTCAACTTTTTTCTCAGTAATAATTGATAGCCAGTCCATCTTGAATTTGTAGTACTCTGAAAAGTTTTTCTTTTGATGAAACAAGTCATTCAACATTGATAAAGTTGATCTATCATAATGGTGACGGTCCCAAATAATATATATAATAAGGAATCTGAACATCACATTTTGGTATTCTTGAAGATTGCCAGATGTAAACACCACTCCATACTGAAAAAATACTAATGGTAATATTTCATCCAGTATATGGATGATACATATATACTCGGGATCTTTGCAAAGTTTAAACTTCTTAAGTATTTTGTCCCTGATAATAAGCCATCCACATAGAGTTCCAGTAAGAATTAAGCTTACTCTGAAGGGCTTTGGTTTGAGTGGCAGCTGTAAGCCAAAAACTTCATTGTACACCTTTTCAAAGAAAAAGTGATGTATCTTAATAGTATCTTCATTTGCATTGAGAGTGACATGAAAAGGACCTTGCTCAGGCATAATGGATGCATAAGCATTCAATTCGGAACTGCTGTGTGTTTGTGCAATTAACTTTTTAGTGTAATACCACGAGGGCCAATCTCCAGGAAAGGGAATTATGTGCTCTTGAAGATAATCTTGTAATTTATTGTTTGAACATGTCAAAATGTGATCAATGGCTTTTTTGTAGTCTTCCATCGACTTAAGTGTTTGCTSGAATTCATCAACAAGAATGCAGGTTTTCAAAGTCAGCATTTCTTTATGTGCTAAGCCATTGTATACCCTGCAAATCAGAAAATAAGAATGCAATTTTCACATATGATAATAACAATACTGTGGTACATGTATCCRAACAGTGGGAGGTAAATAATAAATTTAAAAGATGATTTGCAGTTACCATTGTTAATATTATAATATGGTAAAGCAATTCAATGATCTGAGTTTAAAAGATCATATTTTTATTTAATCTCACTTATGAGAGATMTTTTCAATAAAGCGAATCAATATGTAGTGTGTGATACCTCGAAAAGGTAAACRTGAGACCGTACATGTATATACAGTACCTGAGTTCATGTAATTGCTTTTTCAAACCCTGTCCACTGAGGTGATGGTATTCTCTTGGCAATGATTCCATGTATGTAGATTTCCAAATATCCAAACCACTTTTCATGATGTTTTCTACATTGTCTTTAGCAATACCTGTTAGTGTCAAGATTTGATACTGTAAAACAACTATGTTATAGTTTGTATCATTCACAAATAGTTTTAAAAAATGTACATGTATGTATTTAATATGATCAATGAGGTTATTAAGTAAGAATGGAGATTTCCCGTGCAATATACACTGTAATATAAATTTCATATTGCTTATTTAATTTCAACATAAGCTATAAAAGCATATTTTGCGAAAAACTTGAAGCTGAAATGAACTTGCTTATAATGCAAAGATACATGTATGGTCACAGCAATGATATTCCATTTTGTTATAAATGAATTTAATAATCATGTTTTCAGTGAATAATAAAAGGAGTTTTCAGGTCACACATTACCTCCCACACATGTTTTCTCTTTGCCATCAATGACAACTGTAGGGCAACAGTGAATTTGATGTATTTTGGATGGTAGTTTGATCCCATTCATAGTAGGGTGAATATNGCGCGCCTTCAGGAACTAACCAATCAAAACCCTAATCGTGTATTTGATTGACGCTTATTTGACCAATCATAATAAAAGTAGCCTAATTTATGCTCCTCCTAGAAATTGGTCAGCTGACTTCCCCCATTAAATTGGTAACCTGGAGAAATTTCCGATATTTCTTTGGATTTCACTGTTTTTGTCGTGGAATCCTCTTCACAATGATATACAGAATGGTTTATCCCTTGGCCTTTAATTTTTTTATGTCTTTAGCGACCTTYCTATTGTCGATAAAGATCATTCCGCGGATCAAGGGATTATTTCTTGCTGCAGGAATGGCAGGGAAGGATCTCAACAAGAAAGACAATGATGAACTGATGTAAGTTCTTTCATGTTTGCATCAAGSTGGTTGATATTTTTCATCGATAAGTAAATTCGTTATTGGACCATGATTGTTTACTAGAGAGTTAACTGTATGCGAAAGTAACTTAAAATATATTATTTATTATATTATCACGTGACATATAGAGATCATAAAGCAGCTGTATTTGGAGAATGGAATCATTATTGTCAAAGTTGAAAGTACTACTATAAACTAATTCAGAATTCTAACATATGCACAAATTAGTTGAAATAGTAGTGTGCTATGTATATTACATTAATGATGATGACATTATTACATAATTTAATTAATATATTACATTTAATTTATGATATTATTGTTCGCAGCCCGGAAGGTCTGGGTGTTGTGTCTGGAGCCATGTACCTGATGTGTTTATTTTTATTTATACCATTGCCATTTTTATCAATATGGTTTGAGAAAGGAGATTATGATTTTCCACACCATGAGGTAGGAACACTAACAAGTTCACAATTAAAATTGTGCAGGCTGCATCAACATGTGCCTACAATGCCCATAATATTCTGGTTTATTCTAAAAAATGCCAAGTAAAAGATAATGACACATAAGCTGTCCAGGCAAAAGTACCTGTCCTCACAAGATTTTATATACTGTCCAAACAGCAATTTTGACCTGACTTATCCATTGACCTACTCTTACTTAAAAACACAAGCACTAATACAATCAACTGCTACTGTTACCCTTAGAATTCAAATTTATTGCATAAAATAGCAAAATGCCTGTATTCCTTTGCTGCCAGGTTAACTGCTATTGACATGATTTCATTTTTTTTTCAGTTCGTGATGTTTATAGCAGGTCTTCTGTCAATYTGCTGCATGATATTTCTTGGATTTGCTGATGATGTTTTGGATTTAAAATGGAGAGATAAACTGATTTTACCAACCATGGCTTCATTGCCTCTTTTGATGGTGTATTTTGTCAATATTGGTATAACTACAATAATAGTACCCAAGCCCTTACGCTTCCTGTTTGGTTTTGATGTTGACTTAGGTATGTTATGAAATTTCAATGATAACAGAATACTTATATCATATAATGTATAAATGAATTATTATTGCTTACAACACCTATCATTTCATTTACAGGCATACTATATTATGTGTATATGGGGATGCTTGCAGTATTTTGTACCAATGCTATCAATATTCTGGCAGGAATTAATGGTGTAGAGGCAGGACAGTCTTTTATAATCGCTGTWTCCATTGCAATTTTCAACTGTTTGGAGTTGCAGGGWTCTTGTTGTTGGCAGGCACATTTGTTTTCTCTATATTTCATTCTACCGTACATTGCTGTGTGTGGTGCTATTCTTTATTATAATTGGTAAGTAAAAGACAAAAGCAAAMCCACACTTCAACATGCTTACTTTATTTGTACAGAGTCCATTATTATTATACTTATAGACTTAAAATATTCTATATCATTCCAGGTATCCATCAAGTGTGTTTGTTGGTGATACATTTTGCTATTTCTCTGGGATGACATTTGCAGTTGTTGGTATACTSGGACATTTCAGTAAAACAATGCTATTGTTCTTTGTTCCTCAAGTTTTAAACTTTGTGTTTTCACTGCCCCAACTGTTCAAGTTTGTACCGTGCCCTAGACACAGATTGCCAAGGTACCAAACTTTGTATAAGTAAGAAAGTTGTATGTATTAGTGATAATTAATGATTACAGTAGTATTTATAAAGTCATTGAAATGTTAAAATAATTATCGTATCTTGTACTTTCAGAATCAACAAAGAAACTGGTCTGTTAGAAATGAGTCATGCAGTTTTCAAAACATCTGACTTAAACCCACTTGGTCGATTTATTATTAATGTGTTCCACACTTTACGACTCATAGAAGTACAGTATGACATTGGAGAGGATAGTCAATTTACCAGAATAAATAACTTTACCATTATCAACTTTGTTATTAAAGTCCTGGGACCATTACATGAAAGGACACTGGTTTGCATAATACTTGGCATACAGGTAAGTTGATAGTATTGTACTGAAGACAGTTATTAAACCATTACACTAGTGCTAAGCCATTTTAAATCCAATATTAACAATTATAACATTATTGACATTTGGCATGATTGTATCCTYTCTAATTCTTGGCCATTTTGCTTTCAGATTCTTGGTAGTTGTTGTGCCTTTATTATTCGTTATCGTCTTGTTCGTCTTTTTTATGATGTTGAGGAACATCATATGAAGTAATAGWATGTAGAAAATTAATTTAAATATTTTATCAACTGGTGGCATACTAGAATCCTGTCTAGATTACCACAAAGAATTTGATAAGTTGCACCGATATGACAACAATTTACACTATCAATCTGATAAAAAGTTGTCATATATATATTTTAGACTTTAACTAATCCATGACTTTGAATTACTTCCAAATTGTACATTTTGTATTATAAAAAACAACCTCGTCTTTGTCAGACAGGCTCATGTTTTGAGCCCTCTTAGCAAAGTAGACTGATTTCATTGTCGTTATCATTTTTGACTTAAGTAAGTCTACTGCAATATGATTGGCACCTTTTATTACTGTTCCAGTCATATCATAGGAAACTGTAATTTTAGTAGCAATATTTCAATTCTGATAGCTATCTTAAATTTAGCCTAAATTGTCCTAAATAATTTAAAATAAAATTTTATAGCAATTTTGTAAATAGTGTAATAAGTCAATAAACAAAATAAATAATATAATATCTTTATTACTCTATTTGTCTACTATATAAACAGTTTCTCATTTTTCTTCTTCTTTTCTTCCTTCTTTTCTTYCATATATTTTAAATATGCATGATGACCTTAATATGTGAACTTRTTTCCTTTTTAGTTTTATTTCGTTCACACCAAATTATAAGAACATTGCCATGTAAGATAACAATAAAAATATAAACTACCAGTAACAATTTTTATTGGTCTAATATAGCGACCCAATCCATAAAAAATGGGCATTGTTGGATTCAGTGCTGACCATAAGGGTAAAAAAAAAGCAATTGTCATAATTGAGCATTTTATAATATTTTTGTTTAGTTTCACAGATTTGTCTACTCTAACAATTATTAGCTCTTTTTTGCATTTTTGATTTTACATTTGGCAATGTTATTGTAATTGGTTTTGTAAAATAACAGCAACTAAATATTTATATTCTTCCCCATGGAATAGTTAGAAAGTGATACATGTTAACCTATTATTTTTCTATGATGTCTTTAACACTTGCTTTGACTTTAAGAAATTGTCTTTTGAAATCCAAACCATCTCCCTGTGTCAGATGAAAAGGAAACATGGTTTAGGAAAACAAATTTACCGTTTTTAAATAAAAGCCCTGGAAATTGTGGGCTTCCTGAATCAAGGAAGAAAAGAACACATTTTAAATAYAAGCATTTTTTCTATGATTGTTCCATACCTTTGACAGCCTAAAATCTACTAGTAGAGACCCCATATCAACTAGATTTATTTTGAAGCTTAATTTCATTCTTCTTCTGTCAAATGTTTCAACTGTAAGCTGTAAACAATCCAATAAAACAATGATTATGCAATATATAATAGCATGATATAGAAAAGAATCTTTTACCTGTTTAGATCCACTAGTTTTATAATCATAACCTAATTTCACAAGGGCTTCTTTGAGTTTTCTCAATGTTGTTTCTTGGTTTTTATTGCTATAGAATCTTGTCATTCTTTTAACTAATCTTTGAAATGGTGTCTAAGAAAAACAAATAAATAAGCACATCAATGAATAGGATCTTGAATCATGAGCAAATATTAATAYCAGTCTGACCTGTGATGATCCTGGTGTACATGGAAGCTGACTGCTAAGCAACATATGGTCAGGATGGATGGGTTGAGAAAACCATAGACCTTCATTTCCAGTATTATCATCATCTTTAGTATCTGAACCAAGTCCACTATCTAGATGACGAGGCTCAGGTTGTGACGCAGAAATTGGAGCTTCAATACTGTGAAAAATGCTAATGGTAAGAATATATATATATAACATACAGCCTT